GCACATATATACAAGGTGGAAGTGTATTTTTACTTGCTCCGATTGTCTCTGTATTATTGTGGCCGCCTATTATACATACGCACGGCCTTGCAAGTTGACGCTTTTAGCTAAATATCTTTACTTTAATTTAGTGTATACCTTTCTTTTTCTTTCCACCGTCTGCGAAGACATCGATTGCAGAGTCCATCTTCGACAAGATACTCCCAAACATACCCTTCTTCTTGGGCTTCTTCTCCTTTTCACCCATAATGACAAATGTTCACTGTCAGAAGCGTTGAATACGTGCGTTAATGAATATGCTGATTCTTTGCTATGGTAGCGTATGTATACATACACTCACCACAAATTCTGGGAAAGCCCTGTTTATGCTGTTGTACAGGTCATTTATTTCACAATAAGTATCTATCTCTGGAAAATCGGGGATTGCCTTCATGAAAAAAAAAGATTTTATGCAAGTTTATTACGATAAGAAAATATTTGATACTAGTCCACTGACCACTAGTAAACGTGGCTGTTAAAAATAGACCAATCACAACTGATTGAAAACAACCAAGTAAACTTCTACCCCAGAGTGTAAGAATTCCATTTTATTGTTTCAATTAAAAACTCTAAATTGGCATCATGTATCCGATTTTACTTGAATTCCCATTTGAAGTCTGAATTTCGGGTTCTCGAAGAAGTCAAAACGAAGCAAATATACATTATTTTCAACAACAAAAAAGGAGTGACTTTACAGCCTCCTAAATGGCACCTACACAGTCTTTAGGACGAAACGAGTAACGACCCATGCCGCGTCGGTTTCGGGTATTTTGTGTAATTTATTTTTTGTCAAAGACGTCCGTTCCTTAATAAATACAGTACATTTTTTAGATTCTTCCTTCCCCAAATTCGGTAATGTATTCCCAAAAGAAAAAGACGAAAAGACATGAATTTTCGATCGAGAGTATATACTCTATGGTGCACAGTTCACACTTCATAAAGTTCATACATAGTGGATACGGAATCCTGTGAATATGCCTGTATAACGGACCTCTGACGGTATTTATGCCGTTATTTTTTAAATATAGTCTATGGGTCAATATTGGGTATTTACATAGTTGGGTTATACAATATGGCGAATGGCCATGGCCAAGGGACATGGGTTTTTATTAGTCTCGCTCTCTATTTACTCTCTCTCTTTATAAAAGAGAGAATAGAGAGAGACTGAGACTAAGCTCATAACGTTGTCGGGGTACGGGATAGAAATTGAACATCAATTTTAAACCGTTATAACGATTATAATATGATCAGAAGGGCCTACCTATGCTCATTTTATAGGACTGTAATGTATCGTGGTAACGGTACAGACGTAAGTTTTTAGATCCGTAAGCAGCACCTAAAAAACCATAAAAAGGACCGCATATAGAATAAAAGTTGAACGTAAACGTATATTTATTCGATTTATATAAGTTTTAACGTAAAACCGATTTGTGCGAGTTCTATTTTTACTTTTTTAGTATTTATGTACATAATTTAATACATTATTTATTAGTTTACAAGAATTCCAGATTCCAGGTAATCCAATGAATCCATAGAGGCACAGAGCCACAGAACCACAGACCAGTCACTATCATTTTGTTTTTCTAAATACTCTCTATTACTCTCTCTAGACTCCGAGGAATGGGGACTAGTCACTGGGAGTCGACTCTCCGACTCTGGGGCTCTGGCAGTCTCAGGCCTGGCACCTAATTTGACGCTGGCACAGTATATAGCTGTCGTAGCACTGGCTCAGGGCCTCAGGCTCAGGCTGTGAGTCTGTGAGTCTGTGACTGGCAGTCTGGCTGGACGAGGTCAAGACTCTCACTCAAGAGGCCGAGGCCTGTCGAGAGTCTCAGAGACGAGCGAGAGATATGTATGTAGGGAGCGAGCAAAAGCCAAATTCCTAAAACCTGAATACAAGGCTGAACGGCTATTTTTTTTTAAAACAATAAACAAAGTGACAGAGAACAGTGAACACTGAACAGTGAACCTTACACCTCTCTCTAGTAGAGAAGGCTGGGGGCAGGGCCCGCAGGGGCCTGAAGTCCTGAACTGGAAGTCTGGAAGTCTGAATTCTTTAAAAACAATTTAAAAAAAAGAAACAATCGTTGCCTTTTTAAAATGTGGTTTTTCATAATCCTTCTGAAAATTCATTATTTTTAAAAATTGGTTGCTCTTTTCCTGATATCAGTTGAATTCCTAGAGTAATTTGAACTAATTCCACGTGCATTATTCCCTTTTGCCCTTGGCCCTTGGGCAGTTGGGTGAGGAAAATTGGGAATATGCCAACGCCCCCTAAACTCACTTAAGTCCTGGACAACTGGAACAGCTGAACTTCTGAAGTCGCCCTCAGGGCTCAGGCTCACAGGCTCAACCTTCTCGGTAAATATCGGCCACTGGGCCCGGGGTCTCATTTTGATTTTCGGACCGGCTTGTTTTGAAGTTGTGGGACGGGGCCCAGCTGGGGCTTGTGTTCAGATTATTTCTAAAAAACCCAAAACAGAACTTATAGAGACAATGTTTAGAAGAAGAAGAAAAAAATTCAAAAATCGTGTTTCCGTTGTGCAAAAAGCCAAAAACAAAGAAACATTTGTAAATAATTTTATACAATTGTCTTTTTTCAATATTATACTCTTAACAAATACTAACTTTATTCAAGTGATTATTGTCAACGGCTCTTCGCGTTGATTATAAATTTAAAATCAGGTGTCATCAAACTAAAATAGCGCCCGTAGCGGCTTGCTCCTGATCGTCGGTAGACATAGCCTTCTTTGAATCCGCACTATCTACGTGCGATGTGATTGTTGGGTTCTTTCCCGATTGAGCTTTGTGAAAGAAGTTGAAATTCACGAAAAGCAGAATGTAGCTTAAGGCTGCGATGCCAACCCAAACTCCGTAGAAGATATATAGCCAATCAGCCGCAAAAACCAAATCCAATCCGAGATAGCAATTTAAAACAGCCAGAATGAGCACCAAGTAACCCAAACCCTTGTGTGCGCACTCCCAAACTATTCGTAGTAAAGGTTTCGACTCTCCAGCTTCTGGTACATGGGGTCGAATGAACGCATTCAGCGGCTGCAGCCAAGCTACTATCATCACTGTCAGCCCAATGATGTGATGAGGCTCCGTAAAATCAAGCCCAGCAGGCACGAGCAGAAATGCCAGACCGAAAGCGATTGTAGAAAGCAGTAGACCAAGAGTATTTAGAATTCGATGACTATGGAACCACCAGATACCATACTTGCTTCCTAGAGTGGCGAATAGCGGTCTAAATGCGGAGGAGAAAATGGCTAAAGGAATGAAAACCATCCAGGCCGATACCATCATTATACCGTGAGCGTAAAGAGCTCCACGATTGACAGAACTGAAGGTAGATGAAGCTGAGCATGTGGCAAAGTTCACTGTGCTTGATCCTCGGTTCTGGCCATGGTACGCAACAGACTCACTTTTTCCGAAAGCCCAGATCAGATACGAGTCTGTATTTTCTACCAAACCAGGAACTGCTGACTGCGGGATCGTAAACTTCATAGTTGTCAATCCCGTACTTGTACGTAATATTTCTCCATCCGTAACGATATTTGCTGCAGAGGGATTTACTCCTGATGCGCTTCGGCTTGTGAGACTGTAGCTCGCAACGGAGTTAGAAGCTATCTCACCGATCACAGATTGCTGTGTGGGAACCATGAGGCCGTCTGCATCGTCTTTGAATCCGATACCAATCCAACCGACAGTCTGACTCACAGTTGCCAGGACATCTATAGTCTGATCATTGTCGTTGATACTGAAGGTGAAAGAGACCGTCGGGCTCAAGGCAACTTCATTTGTGTAATCTGGGTTACTACTGACACAATCACCAGTCTGCGCGGCTGCATCCTCAGCATCTTCAGGTGTTGGTTGCTCGGGCATTGTAACTGGAGTATCTGTTGCGTCCTCAGGAAGAGTTGTGTCATTTTCAGATCCGTCGACGGCGTTGGATTGTAGCTCGATTGTCTGTACACCACGATCACGATGATAAGAAAGGTCACCTTGTCCCCACGCCCATATAATATTGTTATCAGCATTTAGAAGAATTGTAATTTGCCCCAATACTAGTGGAATCGTGAACGTAAGTACAGAAATGCTGTCGGTGACAGATATAGAACCATCCGTAACAGTATTCGATGCGCTTGGTAGAACACCGCTATCGTCCCGTTCTGTAAGTGTGTACTGCACGACACCTACACTACCGGTAGAGTTCTGACCAATAATGGCATCCGAACCAACCATCGTTCCTGGGCCAAAGCCAATACCCATCCACCCGACAGCCTCTTCTAAAGTGGCTCGAGCAATTAGGTGTGTGGCGTTTAGAGTGTACTCAAATATTGGCCCATTCTCCAACTCTAGCATATTTTTATAGCTCACCTCAGGTATAACACTAAGTGTATCAGAGTTGGTAGTCTCAGAGTTAGTGTCGAGCACAATAGAGTCTACGCCTCGCTCTCGGTGATATGAAAGGTCACCCTGTCCCCAAGCCCAGATTAAATTATTTATTTGGTCCGGCAGAACGCCCACTTGTCCAAATGCTAGCGGTATTGTGAACTCAAGCACTGATACATCACCCAAAGTTGTGATAGAGCCGTCAGTAACGCCATTCGATACACTTGGCAACACACCGCTCTCATCCTGCTCTGTGAGTGAGTACTGCACAACACCAACATCCCCTGTTGATACCTGGCCTATGATTGCATCTGACCCTACCATGGTTCCAGGTCCAAAACCAATACCACACCAACCGACTGCACTTTCGAAAGTGGCCTTTACGGACAGGTGTGTGCTATTTAAGATATATTCTAGAGTTGGTCCTCCATCACTCAGCGTAACTGTGCTAGGAAATGTTTGGGCTGTGACCTTGATACCCGCAATCGCTACGATCATTAACACGTGAAGAATATCGATAACCATTTTGATTTAGCAAATTAGGGGCTATCAGCGAGTTTGCAGGCGGTTATTAATTGAGATATCAAACGATATATCGAGTGTACTTTTGATTATATTATCCTTGTTTGTGATGAGTACACAATAGCGGATCCGACTTATATACTTTCGTGAACCAACAAAGTTCAAATTTCCCAGATCGAGCCCGGATCTGAGCCCCCCGAAGTCTGACGACTGACAGAAGTTGAGCAAATTTGAACACAAATATGATAAAATTATGCACCTCCTGGATCTTACAATAAGGTTGTACCATCAATAAACCATGTATGTGGTTCATCACGGCTTCACTTCAGTATGCATTCATTTCTTAGATACGCTGTGAAGCTACATACTGGCTTGCATTCATTTTTAGATACCTGTGTCTCCTGTGATTGTGAACAGTGTGAAGCTATTTTTTAATGGCTATAAAATGTATTTTTTTTTGTCGGAAAATTGCGCGCTTGTTTTTTGTTTTATCGCTGGTGGGAAACTATTGGATTCTAGTCGAGCAACATTCTTCACAGAGTATTTGACAAGACATTTATAATTTAGAAGTCTAAAAAAAATGTACTGGGTTGGCATGCGACAATGACGTACAGTCGTACACATACGGAAAAAATTCTCACAACGACAGCCGATATGTATGACACGTCGTTCACTTCTATGTTGACGTCATCTACTAATTTTAGAGTGCGGACAAGTCAAGACATCGCAACCGATATATATATA